CCTACTAGGGCCCCATCAAACAGGTTGGTGACTCCTGGTATGTTTAGTGTATGTTTAAATCTGTTTATTGTTTTTATTATGTTTTCTCTGTAACTGCTGGCAGTGCACTGTTCATAGCCTTCGGAGAGAAAGCAAATGCCATTAGGCAGACTGGCTTACTGGGGATATCACTGTGTATGGCAGGGGGCTGTGCAGCCTTAAAACTCCCAGTCAGAAGGGAGTGGGACAAGGTCCTTGCTCAGAGACGGGATTGCTGGAGACCTGAGACCTGACTGGGCACTCCTGGAGTAAACCATGGAAGGGGAACAGATGTAGTTACTCTGAAACAGTGACACTCATTACAAAGGAACGTGGCTGTCAGCAGTTGCAATGAAAACACAATGGGTTGGAAGCAGAGAGTCAAAATCACCCTCAAACCAGTCCTCACTCTTCTCCTAAACCTCTTACTCTCCTCAGTTTCCTTCCACATACAATATAGATATGTTTTGGTCTCTCTATAAAAAGAGCCCAGACTTGATTCCACTTCCCCTTCAAATATATCACCCCATGTCCCTTCATCTCCAAACCCACTGACTGTGCTATCTACAATGGCTGTCTGAAATTCCTCTTCTACAAGTCCATTCTAGGTGCCTTTCAGTCTGGCTTCCACCCCCTACAGTCCACTGAAATGGCACTCATCAGGCTCTCTAATGACCTCTCCTTGGCCAAGTATGAAGGCAGCTACTCCACCCTAATCCTCCTTGACTTATCAGCTGCCTTTGACAATGCCGACCTTTTGAAATCCTGTTATCGCTAGGTTTCTGTGACTCTGTCCTCTCCTGGTTTTTCTCTGACCTCTTGGATATCTCCTTCAGTGTCCTTCTTGGTGGGGCATCTTCTTGGTGGGGGTCACTGAAGGCTGCTACCTTGGCCCCTTCCACTTCTCCCTCTATACCCTGTCTCTGGGTGCAATTTAATCTGCAAACATGATTTTGAATACCATCTTTATGCTGCTGACTCACAAATTTGCCTCTCCACTCTGGACTTGTCTCCATCCAAACTAAAATCTATGTCTTTCTGGATCTACTCATGGATTTTCAGACCAGGGTGCATATAAATCTGGACCCTTCTTGATGCACATCTCTTCCAAGAATCCAACCATTCTTCTCTCTCCTCTTTGCCAAAACTCTTCTCCAACACAGATCATCATGCTCCTTGACTACTGTAATCTCCTCCTTTCTGGCCTCAATGCCTGCAAGCTTGCCTTCCTCAAATCCACTCGAATCACTGCTTCTAAGATCAGCTTCTTGGTTCATTCTGACTATGTCAATACCCTCTTTAAGTACTTCCATTAGCTCTCCCTGTCCTCACAAAGCTCTCCACTGTTCAGGCCTCAACCTACCTAGCTTATCACAAGGTTGACTCCCACCTGTGCTCTGCCAATAATGCTAGCCTCAATTTCCCAATTCTCTGCTTCTCCAACAAGCACTTTTGTGCTTTCTCTTTTGCCACCACTTATGAGTAGGGAAAACTTCCAGTCAGAATCTGTAAAGCTACTGCCATATGCTCCTGAAAACTCACCTCTTCTGTAAGGTGTACTGTAAAGTAGAACCTGAGATTAGCTAGGGAAGTGGTAAGCTGTGATCATTACTACTGATCAGCTAAGAACTGGCGTGTTCTATTATATTTCTTTGTGACACCATCTATCCCTCCCAATCCTTGCCCACTTCTTTGTTTCACCCACCTGTTATGTCTTGTCTTTTAGGCTGTAAGTAATTTTGGGCCAGGGATTGTCATTTATGATGTTTGTACAACACATACTGCAATACAAATGTTAAACAATGAACAAAATAAAATTCCCGAGGAAATGGAGGGAGCTTTCAGCCAGATACCCGAGTGACCAGTCAAAGTGCAAGGATTAGATGCCTATGCTTTAGTTAGGATAAGTCTAGGGAGATTTTAGGGAGGTCTTTTCTGATTTAGGTATTGAAGCTGGAAAGTAGACAATATATACTTTGAAAAAATTGTGGTAGCAGTTTGTTTCTCCATCTTCCAGTTATGGATGAAGTAAAATTAGCAGGAATTGGGCAATTATGTTTTAAAACATTCTATGTCATAGGTGTTATTCCTCTCACAAATCACATTCCTTTAAACGACTTACCAGATTTATGACTGGTCTCACATTTAGTGAACAAATGGTTCATATTTTTAAAGCTTCAAACATTTTACCCACTTTCAGTACCAAATCCATTGGTATGGATGGGCTAAATATTGTAGACTGGAATTGTGTGGACAGCAGGTGAAGAGCAATCAGCATGGAGAAAGGGAACAGATCATCTAGTGTAAGCACAGAACCTCATTTTAATGGCATTATGTACAAATACTTTGCAGTGGGCTATCAAGCCACTGTTCCCCATTAGTTATCTTGCCCTCCTTGAGTACTTAGCTTAATTGGCCTATCCAATTCTTCTATGAAAACTGGTTTAAAAAGAGTTGAGCAAGAGGCATCCTGGAGACCAGTTCATTAAGGGTACGTTCCAGCGCCAGGGAAAATATATCCATGCCAGTTGTGATTGAGCCAGAGAGCTAAAAACAGAGTGTAGCCATGGCGATGCAAGCAGCTGCCTTGAGTATGTACCTGTCCAAGACGCTAGATGTGTACTCAGGGTGGCTAGCACCTCCTGAAGCTCGCATGGTGGCGGCTACGTTCTATTTTTAGCATGCTAATTCAATCAGAACTAGAGTGGGTATGTCTCCTTAAGATGGAAATTACACCTCCAGCTTGAAAAGGAGATGTACCTTATGAGGCACACTGTAGGGCCTCATAAGTCATTTTTGCAAAACGAATTATAGCCCAGTGCATCACACACTGTGTATAAAACTGTAATTAGAATTTATACTCCACTTTACATCTTGAAAGCATATTATAAATATTAACTAATTAATCCTCACAACCCTCTTTTGAGATACGTAAGTATTATAATACCTATTTTACACACGTGGAAACCAAGGCTCAGAGAGATGGGCTCATTTGTCCAGAGCCACACAGTAAGCCAAGTACAGAGCCAGGCTCAGAACTTCGTATTCTTGGCTCCCACGCCACTGCTTAGTTCTATAGACCACATTGGTGTTCTAAAACAGTAGAATAGTTAATTTATTTACAACTTTAATCTGCAAACATGATTTTGAATACCATCTTTATGCTGCTGACTCACAAATTTG